ACACTAAATCCAATTCCTAAGGCTTAACAGACGTTCATATAGTGTTAGTTGGAAGGCTTATGTTGGGAATTTCTTCTACCCACTTCCTTTCTAGCTGTCTCATACTCTGTTAAGATGACTTATGTGAAAAACAATAAACAAAACACAAAACCATAAAGTTTAGAAAATGCTTCTTATCTAGTGAGAGGTACAATATATCAGTTTTTTTAAGAGGAATTTTTAGACATTACGTCATTTGCTTGTTGGACACATCAAGTTTCACAAATAATTAAAAAATTACACTGTTTGGTACTTTATGTGTTCTTGCTAAAACATATTACAGATTGTAAAATATAAACTTCACTCCAACCTAGGTGACAGAGTGAGAACCTGTCTTAAAACAAAAACAAAAACAAATTAAAATAGTAAAAAAGAAATAGAAAAAAATAAGGCAAGACAAGTCTTATGTATAGATTAGTGTTATGGGTAGAAATAAATGGTAACAACAGCTGCTATGTGTGTGATCTGAAGGTCATTAGAAATGACCCTTGTTTCAGAGTAGTTTGTTCTTTCTTTTTTAGTAATTCTACCATTTGTATTTCATTCTGTCTTTTAAAAACACTTTTTTGTTTTAAGAGATATTCTTTGTTTCACTCACAATTTTTTTGTTTAGCAGAGTTTTCAAAAGTGTCATATATTTACAGCTCACTTTTACTACTAGATTTTGAGTTAAATGTAGTCAAATGAAGCTGCTAGAATCTGGAACATAGCGAGCATTCAATAACTGTCCACCGTTTCTGCATCTTTCAGGAGGTTGCTCTGTCATATATATTTGTACTGTGCTAGTCCTTTATCCATTCCCCTGCCCTGGAAGGAGTTTAGTAAGTGTTGTTTAGCAAACACATTAGGAATGTGGGAAACTTCAGGTAGTTATTAGAAATGCAATATGAAGTTGAATGTTAGGAACTAGAAATCAGGATCGATAATTTTCTTCTAAATATCCTAAACTCAGCTTTCTTTATAGACAAGATAAATTGTCTATGAAGACTCTATTGACTCAGCCTGACAGGTCTTAGTAGAAAGAGTGTAAATCAGATGATATAAATAGATTATATGGCTAAAAAATTACAACTACATGTAATAATTAAGAGGGAAAGATACTACACTAGATGCTTCAAATACATTATCTCATTTAATAAGGCTAGAGAGAAAGCACAAAGTCCAAGTTTCTAAGAAAAATTTATCAAGAAATTTTGAGGATTTTCTGTATATGTATATACATATTTTTACGTATATACACATATATATGGAAAACAAACAACTATGGTTTAAAATACGAGTAAATATTTTAAGACTCCTTTGTGTATTTTTCCAAATCTTAATTTTAACTCTTGTCCCACTCATCAATAGAAAAATTAATTAATCTATTGTCTTATGTCACAAATGGTAATCAGTGGGCCAGAAAGGGTCAAACAAAACTAGAATTCCATATGAACTGCAGAGAGAAGAGCAGGCTTACTTCTCACCCTTTAAGTCCGTGTTTCTGAGAAGCCAAAGAGAACAAAAGAGAGGAAGGGAATGGAGATGAAGGATGAGGTTAAAGTTTCATTTTGCAGTCTACCTGTTAACACCTCAGTGAAATATCATTAGGATGAGTCAGTGGAAGTTTGGGGTTCCAGATTGCATATATTTACCTTTAAATTCAAATGGATTTCCAAGAGTTCCTGGACTTTGAAGTATAATCTCTAAGTACCTGCAAAAAATCCCAGCTACCATAACCTGTTTCACAATTTTTTTTTCTTGACAGTGGATTATGGGGAAAATATCATTAAGAGGGGAAACATTACTACAGAGGTAAGCTTAGATGTGTCAAGAGATGAAATAGTGAAAAGGTTAAGCAATGTAATGATTAGAACCTCTACTCCTGAATAATATATTTCTCCTTCTTCTTCTTTATTTTTTCCCAGAGACAAGGTCTCACCCTGTGGCCCAGGCTGGAGTGCAGTGGCTGGATCACTGCTCACTGCAGCATCAATGTCCTGGGCTCAAGCAATTCTTCCGTGAGCAGCAGGCATACCACCATTCCTGACTAGTTTTTTAAAATTTTTTGTAGAGATAGTGTCTCCCTATGTTGTTCAGGCTGATTTCAAATTCCTAGGCTCAAGCAATCCTCTTGCCTCAGCCTCCCAAAGTGCTAGGCTTATAGGTGTGATCCTCTGTGACTTGCCAAAAAATATTTTTTCAAAATGAGGCAGATGTTAAACTTTTTGTTTCCAGATTATTATTCAACTGTTACTTTTTATTTTATGCAACTATTGTTGAAAATGTTAAACAGTTCTTCTATATAGTAGTAACTCATAAATACTTGATATATTTAAATTGGGAAGACCTGTCTTACACATCTTAGTATTCTTCCATCCTGCTTGCCTGCTTCCATTTATGCCTTCCTTGATGTCTTCCTTCTAACTTTATTTAAAAATATTTATTCATATTGGACTTTATACAAAATGTAAAAAGTAGACTTTGTGAAATTCCATGTAGAAATATATAGCTGAGTAAAATAAATGCCTGTATTAGAGGCACTTAGTGTAGGAAGATAAGGGACATAAAATAAAAGCTAGAAAATTAAACAAGTGAGACTACTTTTCAGGAATCCAAGGAGATTCACCAATTAAATTCATTGAGGAAAGCTTTCCAGTGTAACTATCTGACCTATTTTTGGGATATATTCATTCATTTATGGTTTTCATTCACTCATTAAAAAATATCTTTGAGGACCTGCTTTATTTAAGCATGTTTGTGTCCACTGAAATTTCAGAGGTAAAAATGCAACTATAATCTGTGCTCTTAAAGATCTCACCATCCAGTGAAGAAAATGTACAATTAACAAAATTATACAACAATTATATAATTGTGACAAATGCTTGAAGGAGGCCTAGAGGATGCTAAGAGAGCATATAGTAGGAGACCCAATGTAGAGATCTCAGGGTATGCTTGGTAGAGGAGGTGACATTAAAAACTGGGCCTTGAAGAGTGAAAAAAAATTAGCCAAATGACTGGAGTTATGGAGATCAAGAAGGAAGAATTTCTGGCATAGAGGGAATAGCATGTATGAAGATCACAAGGTTGGTAGGATTTTGACCTTTGTAAGGAAAGGAAGGAAGGCTTTTATAAGAGAAATTGAGAACAAAAGAAGGAGAGATATGAAATGAAGCTGGAAAGATGGGGAGGGAGCTATCTACGCTGGCCTGGAGGAATTTCTGTCTCTTCTATGAAGGCCCTGAAGGGTTTAAACAGAAGTGGCCACTGTTGTGTGGCAAATGGAGTAGAGTGAAAGTCAGGTTACCAGTTACAAGGCTATCTCAGGAGTCCAGTTTAGAGATAATAGTACCTTAGATTGTATATGGTTTTGGCAGTGGAGATAAGGAGAGTGAGTGATTCGACATCTATTTTAGAGGGAAAACAGAATGCTACTTTGGTTCATTGGAAGGGGAGTGTCAAGGGGACATTAAGGTTTCTCGTATGAGCAATGGCAAATCTTGATGTCTTTTGTAAACATGAGTAATATCGTGTGTGGTTTATGATCATGAATTCAAAATCAGAGACATTTTCACTTTTTGAAAACCATGAGACAGCTAAGTGGAGATTTTGGATTGGTCATTCAATGGGTAAGTGTGCAAATAAACTGCTCATAAGGGAGGTCAGTCCTGAGGACAAAAATGTGAGAATCAGGGGAAGAAGGATGGAGTTGAAGCCCTTTGAGTCCTAAGAATAGATATTATTTGGACTAGTAAAATTATATTTTTTCTCAGACATAATTTTTAGCACATGGTTTCAAGATGTATGTGGCATTCTTCTACATCATTTTAGTACACTCAGTGAAAAATATTTTCTTGGGTAACATTTTTTAACACAATAATGTAAGCCAAAAGAAGAATAAAATGTATTTAATTCAACTTGTTTTACAGCATAAATTACTGGTGCTTATCTGTTCCTGAAGATTTTTATTGGTGGTTGTTGTAAAATTTCTTGAAGATTTTTATTGGTGGTTGTTGTAAAATTTCTTATCATGGGTATTTTTCCCATCTTAAAATGTGCTTTGATGGTTATTTATTGGAAGACATTTGATTTGATAAATTCTTATGTCAGGCAATTTTGCAAGCAACATGTTTCCATGTAATGGAATAGGGTTACTGGTGGAAATCTTCTTTAAAGGAGCTAGAGTTATAATTCTCATCTAATTTTTTACTTTAAAAAGTCCTATTTTAAGTACCCCTAATAATTCATTTCATCATCTTGATTGAAAATGAAATATGCTAACACCTGATTTAAAAGCAGATTGTACTCATTAGTATCTGTATAATCTCTAGTAGTGGCATTGTAATTTACATTTATTTTTTTAAAAGAAGCACTTTAAATGCCCCACAACATTATAGGATTTACAACATCCATATTGTTTACATAATTACATACATTATGGGGAGAAACACAAATAAACAAAGAAACTGTTTTTGCATAACCTTGAAGAAATTACTAAACAGGATAGGCAAAGAGTGGGAAAATCCAGTTTATTTCAAGAATGTAACCCTGATCTAAAGTCAGGCTAGAATTAGTCATGAAAGATTTAAAGAGCCAGCTCATTTTGTGGTTCCAATGGTGTGGTGAAATTAAAACCTCTATTGAATTAAATTATCTGCCTAAAAACAATTCATAATGATTTTCATAAAATATTACAATATATATATTTTAAAATCTGAAATGTCTATAAATGTCATCATCATCACTTTACAGATTTACTAAACTAGGGTCTGAGTACTGGTTAATCCATGAGTTCATGTTTTTATACAAGTATCCAGATAGATAGGACTAAATAGCTCTGATGTGCTCCTGAGAATTTGTATTATTTCCCCCTTTGTCAAATTTATTTTAAGAACAATGACTTTTTGTCATGTTATCTTCTAACGCATGTCATTACCTTATATAATTACTCAGTCTTGTTCTGTATTTCCCTTGTCTTGAAGGAATTGCCTACGACCCCTTGATGCTGAAACATCAGTGCGTTTGTGGCAATTCCACCACCCATCCTGAGCATGCTGGACGAATACAGAGTATCTGGTCACGACTGCAAGAAACTGGGCTGCTAAATAAATGTGAGGTAATCTGACATTGGACACACTCTTTTACTTCCTTAAATAAATCATGTGAAGAGGCCAGTATTCATTTGGGGAGTAATAGAAAAATATTAACCATATAGTGCAAACATCGTGATAGATGAACCATCATAGATTTGAGTAGCACAGAGCTTACCACCTGCCTCTGCGCTGGGCACACGGTAAGTATTCGATCAGTGTTGATGAACTGAGCAGCTGCCTGATGCCTATGTTCCAATATTGCAGTATTATTATTACATACACATGGTAGCACTGTTTGCAAATAGATATTATTTATTGAGTTGATCTTCTTAGAAACTCTTTACTAAGTTATCATTTTTGGTTATAAACTGAACTTTGAATTTAGATGTATGGCAGTTTTGCCACATGGAAATTAATGATTTAAAATATTAACTGTCCTCTTACCACCAAAAGTCATTTCTTTTTATTGAAGTGGTTGATATGTTTATAACTTGATGAACGGCTTTGAATAGTTTCATTTTATCATTATTTCCTTAAACTCATTTCTTTAGATGCCTGGTGAATACCATTTTTATTTTGAAAAATCTATCATTTTAGGCTTTCAAAGGGTAAAAACAAAAGTCATATCAATTCAGACAGACTCCCATAGTGAAATGTGAAAATATGTAACAAACAGCTGTTATTTGATTTAGTTGCTATAAATGCCCATTGTTGTCTGAAATCCAGTAACATTCTGCATTTGAATTTAAGCCATTTTTAAAAGAAAAATACCCTCCATGGGCTTTCTCACATTAACATTTACTAATTACTTTTTTTTGCTGGGTCTCTGTTAAGTTCTAAACATATTCCAGGTATTAGAATTATAAAATTTCACAAGACAGATACAGTCTTAAAATGTAGTCAACAAAATTCCTATTCAAATTCAACTTAGTTTAAACTGAGTCTGTAAAATATTTTACTTGAAATAGGAATGCCAAAGAAGACAGAATTTTTCTACAGGTCAGGTGTACTTGCCTACATATGCTAGTATGAGTTACTTCAGTCTGATCCCTTTCCTCTGCAAACTACTAAAAATAATTGACTTTTGAAGATGCAAAGCCATTCATTCAGTTTGTTCATTTCTACAGATGAATAATCTTCCTGATGCATTTTTTTTCTTTAAATGGTAGCTATTATATTCTATGTTACAAGGGAAGTTGTTTTTTTAAAACATTAATTCATTGCTAGTGTCTTATGGATCATTCAGTAGTTGAGATTGTGAATGAATATACCATAATGCTGTGTACAGATTTAGTCTCACAAGTTTTATTATATATTTATGATGGAAATATCAAACAGTTTTCTTATTTAAAGCTCTGATTTTGATTAAATGTATCCTTTATCTAGAAATCCCAAAGTGAAGGAAAATGAGCTAGATTTATTTATCTGGTTCATTCCTGAGTGCAAGTCTATTATTCATTTTTTTGCCAGTGGCATTCATATTATATGGCAGAAGGCTTTCATACTCTGCTCAATTTTAGAGTTATCTTTAAGGCTTGCATGTTTCTGATAATGCAATTTGGAGGCCAAACCATTTTCTTTTCTACACAATTCCATATGGAGTCCATAAAGTAGACCAGCAAGGAAAATTATTTGTGGTAGGCTGGTCTTAATGGACAAAATACATTTATTCACTTGAACATTCCTGTCTCATCTTTTCATCTGCTTTGCAATTTTTCTGTGCTCTTGCCAGCTGAGGCATTGCTGCTTACATTTTTCCACCTTCACGTTTGTGTTATATCCTGCAGCTGCTGGCCTGGTCCTAGCTACTTCAAATTGTCAGTAGCTGATCAGAGCCTTCAAATGCATTGTTAGATAGTGGTATTCCTAAAACCTATTACCTGAAGGAGAATTGTTTGTAAAAGGAACAGAGTATAGAAATAAATGGAATTTGGTGTGATTCACACTGGTCTAAAAGTTCAAAAGTCTATTATTATCCTTTTCTGGTTAGTCTTTTCAATAGCTTATATACGTTACATAATTTTAGTTCTGTATTATTTGAAACCATACAATTCAGTTTGTATAGCACTGACTGATGTGATATCAAACACAGGGTGAAATGTCAGAAGCACTATCATACAACTATGGGCTTGAGGAGAATAGAGTCTCCTTGGTAACACTTAATCACAAAATTAACTAATAATGCACTCACAAGCCCAGATCAGCAGATTTGCTCTTAATAAAGAAAAAGCACAAACATCACACCCAAAACCTTGCAACAATGCAAATAGAAGCCTCTTTTCTTGACATTGTTTGATGGCAGTTCACCAGGTGTTCAGTATCTTAAGTGAAGATTTTGTTGCTCATATATGTTTATCATTATATATGATAATGCTCCTACATTATCAAAACTCCCATATTAGCAAATAAATTATTGCCTATATAAATTTATTTACTTTTTGAAATTATGAGATGCTAACCTAAACCAAACCATGAAATTAAATTTCTAAAACCACTAAAAATTAATTCACTTTTAAGATACCTAGGAAGTTAATGTCTCTGCCCATGTGTGAATGATATTAGGAAAATTTAAAATTAAATTTTAGAAATCATTAACTAGGGGGGAGGACTCAAGATGGCGCTGTGAGAACAACCCAGGATTGGAGCTCTTCTCGTTGAATCCGCAAACGGTGAGTCAGAGCGGCATTTCCAGACTGATCTTTGTTGCCCACAGAACGGGGAAACTCCCAAGTATAAAAAAGACACGGGACGCCAGGCAGTAGGTCTGCCTGGCGAAGCCGGCAGCCGGGGCGGCGGCGGCCGGCCCTACCCAGCAATCCCCACAGGGTGCGCTTGTCCGGGTGCCCTGTTGAACCGGCAACCTGAGACTTGAGAGGGCTGGACTTGAGACTGAATGAGACTTGGACACTAGGCCAGCCCAGGGGATTGCAGGGATTGGGATACCCAGTGGGACGAACAAAACCGCGATTTCAAACTATCCCGAGCAGACGGTCCGAGACGCTCTGTGGGGGAGGGGCGTCCACCACTACCGAGGCAACCCGCCCCAACTGAGATACACGCCCACTGCTGACGCAGCCAGCCGTTGCCGAGGCAACCCGCCCCAACTGAGATACACGCCCATTGCTGACGCAGCCAGCCGTTGCCGAGGCAACCCGTCCCTACTGAGATACATGCCCACTGCTGACACAGCCTGCCGTTGCCGAGGCAACCCGTCCCTACTGAGATACATGCCCACTGCTGACACAGCCTGTCGTTGCTGAGGCAACACGCTACAACGGGCGTGGCGGAGACCACAGCAGAGCCGGCAGGAACAGCGCGAATCACACAACAGCAGGGCGGAGCCTCGGCAGCCAAACAGTGGCTAGTCTGCCTTCTAGCTGGGCAGGACACCTGATCGGACATCCAAAAATAAAGCCCAAACCCCTCAACACAGAGCATTTGAAAAAAAAAAAGGGTTTTTTAATGAGCTCTGTTGCAGCAGAATAAAACATAGCAGCCTAACAGCCCTGAATGAACAACAGAGTGCACAGCTCAGCAATTAAACCCCTATAGAGTACAAACTGTCTCCTCAAGCAGCTCCCTGACCCCTCTATATCCAAAAGACTGACATTAGGCAGGCATCATCCTGGGACAAAGAGAGCAGAAAAAGAAACGGGTAGCATCCCTCGCTGTGCCACAGCTACTAGAGGTGCACCCCAGACAAGCAGGGTCTGGAGCGGACCTCAGCAGTCGTACAGCGAAGGGGCTAGACTGGTAGAAGGAAAACCAAGCAACAGAAATACTTCATCATCAACATTGGGTGTCCACTCAGAGACCCAAACGAAAAGTCAGCAACTACGCAGACGACCAGCGGACAAATCCACAAAGATGGGAAGAAACCAGCGCAAAAAGGAGGAAAACACCCGAAACCAGAACACCTCACCTCCTAGAAAGGACAAAAACTCCTCACCAGCAAGGGAGCAAAGCTGGACGGAGAATGACTGTGACGAAATGACGGAATTAGACTTCAGAAGATGGATAATGAGAAACTTTTGTGAGCTAAAAGATCATGTATTAAATCAATGCAAAGAAACTAAGAACCTTGAAAAAAGATTTGAAAAAAGATTCGAGGAAATTATAACAAGAATGGATACCTTAGAGAGGAATATGAATGAATTAAAGGAGCTGAAAAACACAATACGAGAACTTCGCGAAGCAAACACAAGTTTCAATAGCCGAATTGACCAAGCAGAAGAAAGAATATCTGAAGTCGAAGACCAACTCAATGAAATAAAACGAGAAACCAAGATCAGAGAAAAAAGTGCAAAAAGGAATGAACAAAGTCTCCAAGAAATGTGGGACTATGTGAAAAGACCTAACCTACGTTTGATAGGTGTACCAGAAGGGGACGAAGAGAATGAATCCAAGCTAGAAAATACTCTTCAGGACATCATCCAGGAAAATTTCCCCCACCTAGCAAGACAAGCCAACACTCAATTGCAGGAAATACAGAGAACACCACAAAGATATTCCGCAAGAAGAGCAACCCCAAGGCACATAATCGTCAGATTCAACAGGGTTGAAATAAAGGAGAGAATACTAAGGGCAGCCAGAGAGAAAGGTCGGGTCACCCACAAAGGGAAGCCCATCAGACTCACAGCAGATCTCTCGGCAGAAACACTACAAGCCAGAAGAGAGTGGGGGCCAATATTCAACATCTTTAAAGAAAAGAACTTTCAACCCAGAATTTCATATCCAGCCAAACTGAGCTTCAGAAGTGAAGGAAGAATAAAATCCTTTGCGAACAAGCAAGTACTCAGAGATTTTGTCACCACCAGGCCTGCTTTACAAGAGCTCCTAAAAGAGGCACTACACATAGAAAGGATCAATCAGTACCAGCCATTCCAAAATCACACTGAAAGCTAAAGAGCTTCAACATAATGAAGAATCTACAACAACTAACAGGCAAAACAGCCACTTAGCATCAAAATGGCAGTATCAAATTCACACATAACAATATTAACCCTAAATGTAAATGGATTAA